TGGTCCCACCAAATACAGAGCATGACTTTGAAGCCGTGAATATTCGGTTTAGCCGTCAGCGCAGAAGCGTGGCCGAAATATCCCAATGATTTTCGGCGCTTGGGGTTATCGTAAAAAACCCATTTTTCATCACCAGTCACAATGCGATGCAAAATTCCTTTCCGTTTTTGTCTTTCGAGCAGCTGTTCACAGATACAGAAACGCCGTTCAACATCTCTCGGCTTCAACTCGTATGGCATCCAGTATCCTTGCTTCTGGATCATTCCCAGATTGTTTAGGCGTTTTGAAACTGCTTGTTGGCTCACTTGCAATAATCTTGCCAACTCCTCTTGACTTTGACACGAGTCTTCATTGAGCAAATGCTCTAATTCTTCATCTTCAAAAACTTTTGATCTTCCACCACTATGCCGGTTTTCTACGCAAAAATCACCGCTCTTGAAGCATTGAAACCACTCACGACATGTTCTTTCACTCATAGCAGCCTCACCATAAGCGTCTGAGAGCATTTAGTAAGCCTCAGCCGCAGATTTTTTAATATTAAAAAAATAAATTAACACCTCCCGCAAATGACGAGAATTCGGCTCATAAGTTGACATTTTTATTCGAGAATAACTATATGATGTAAACACAAATCAACTACTGGTGCTATCAGGTTATGTTCACAAGATACTAAAGAGTATTGAGAGTCATCTATAATGTATGTACTCGACGTCTACTTTTCGCTAATAGCATCTATAGAAAAACAGCGGAAGCAAAGTTGTATACCTAATATGACAATGTAATACTCAGTTTTACACGTTCTAACTATTATTGTAAATTTTATTTTATTTTATTTTATTCTTTTGACTGTTATATCCATCGTTAACTAAGGATGAAGCAATGTTAATTAAGGTATGCGAGCGTTGCGATTCTTTCATATAAAACATTGTTTAACATACTGAATTGTAATCTGGTGTTTATTATAATATTTCTCATTCTAAATTGTATAGTATCTCCACTGAAGATGACTCAAATAAAATTCAAAACGTTTGGAGAATAATTTAGTATAACAATTACTTGCATATCACCTTGCATCCGGATCGAACAGTCCGTTCATACATATCATTTGTGAGAATTCTTGTCGATAGCGAAGCTGTTGTTTACAATACTAAAAATAATTCGAAATTTGTTTAATCCAGGCAGTGTCTCCTTAGCAAGGCTAAGAGAAATTGCTGTGTGACTCGGCTTTTAGCTGTTATTGATTCAGTGAAAATGTTTCATCACTATCTTTATGGACGTAACGGAAAATTGCATAAAAATGCGGATGGTTTGTCCAGACAGTCTTGTGTGAAGTACGGATGCAAGTTTTGCTTAAGAGCAAAAGAGAAGAGAGCAGCAGAGCGATAAGAGCGTATTGTATGGATAGTGCTTGAGGACGGTAAAACAGTGGAGTGGCGTACGGAGCAGTAGGAAGATAATGCGATTTTTATAATCTTGTAGGGGAAGGAAACAGGTGTTCGTCCGTCATAGGAGAAAGTCTCAGCTAGAGGTCCATCTTATAAAATCTATTGATCTCATTGGGATGCTTTGGTTATTTAAAATGGCGTTTTGCATAAAAGATGAGAAGCTCCTAATCTGAAAACCAGTTTTCTGCAGATTGTCATTCTTCGGAAGTTTTACAAGCGAGTTTTAGAGAAAGCCTATGATGCTTTTTCCGGTGGGCATTTTAGAGTAAATAAAACGCTGGAGAAAATACGGAAACAGCTTTACTAGGCAACGTGTAAAGAACTGGTGCAAATCTTGTCAAGTGTGTTGCTAAAAAAAGTCCTTCGGATAAGGGTAGATCGCCGTTGCAGATATACACTTTGGAAGCTCCTTTTAAAAGATTGCAAATAGATATTTTTGGTCCTTTTCCGGTATCAACTTCAAGGAACAAATATCTTATCGTTGTGGTGGACTGTTTCACTAAATGGGTTGAGGCATTTTCTTTGAAGAATGTTAAGAAGTGTTCGTGAATCAGGTGATTTCGGGTAATACTCTACTACCTACGATTCGACACCGAATTATTTGACACCGACTTATTTGACGTCGTACAATTCAACACCGTATGATTTGGCACCGAATTATTTAACACTATATAATTTGACACCGAATTATTTGACATTGTACGCTTCGATACCGATTTATTCGATACCGTACGATTCAATACCGAATTATTTGACACCGTACGATTGGACACAGTACATTTTTCGATATCGTGTATTGTTTATAAGTAAATATTTTGTTTGCATCACACATTATTGTACACGTGTGGACGGGGAAAAGACTCCGCTCCTCTCTCTGCACTTCCCCGAAAAAATCTGACCTAACCTAACCTGCGTTACAACTATTACTAATTGTCACGATGCACATTGCTTGTCATTTGTAATGTGTCCAATAGTACCGTGTCGAATTGTACGGTGATAAATAATTTGGCATCAAATCGTACGGTGTCGAATCGTACAGTGTCGAGTAATTTGGTGTCGAATAATTTGGTGTCAAATAATTTTGTGTTCAATAAATTTGTGTCGAATAATTTTGTGTTCAATAAATTTGTCCAAAAATTTTGTGTTCAATAATTTGGTGTCAAATTGTACTGTGGTCACATAGAACGCTCGGTGATTTCTAGGTATGGAGTGCCGTTGGATTTTGAGTTGCAACTCTTTTAGAAGTTGGCGTGAGTTTTAGGAATTAAAAAAACAAGAACGACTGTTCTCTGCAGTTGGGCGGGAGCAGGCGAGACAACATCAAACAATTGTCCAGTATTTGTCAAAGTTTGTGCAAGAAAGTCAGAGGAATTGAGACCGTTGAGTTCTGATTGAGTTCTAATGTTTCTTCTGGCCTATAAGTCTTCTAAACATGAGGCGATGGAAGTTACTCCTGCGGAGCTGTATTTCGGTCGGGAACTCCGTCTTCTTTTGAAAAACTTATTTATTTCGGAGCTTGCCTCGAATTATTGTTTAGAGTCGGCGGAAGATTATTAACACGGGTTCTGCAGGTGAAGTTGGATAAAGTACATCGGAATATAAAAGAGCGTTTGTAGATGAAGTTTAATAGGGCGAAGATGCGTTACGACCAGAAAGCTAAGCATACTCTTTTCAAAGCGGGGCAGAAAGTTTGGTTCTATAATTCACGGAAGAGCACAGAGAGAGCTCCAAAGTGTTACAAAGAATTGGGAAGGACCTTATGAGATTGTAAAAAGATTAAGCAATGTGGATTATTGTATTTGTTGTTCGAGCAAACATAAGTGCAAGGTGGTACATACGGATAAGTTAGCTTCTTTTTGTAAAAAGGTAGAATTCACATTGGAGTTCCGTCCAAGTGTTTAGCGTTTTTTCAACAAAAAAAGAATTTAATGATAAGTGATTGTTGACAAAAAAGTTAATTTAAGATATAATAAATGATTTTTTGTTTTAAGGTATAAAATATTTGAAGTACGAATACTCATTGTTTTGTTTACGATTCAAAAATCTGTTCCTGTCCCGTCCCTTTTCCTGAGTCGGTAACGTTGAGGGATAATTGTGTCAAACAGGTGAAGGCAACGATTTAATTAAAGTGTTTTAAAGAAGACCGCCTCTCCTATGGTATTTGAGCGTGATTTTCCGTGGGACATTGGGCGAATGTCGAGACGGGGACTTGAGAAGTTCTGTAAGGACATTGGGTCCACGCGGGTTAGGTTACCCTTCTCTTGTCCGAAATCAGGAGGATATCAGGACCACGCTCCGGGATTTTTGAGAAGAGTTTCCGAGAATCTCTCTCAAGATCCTAGAACAGCAGCCTAGAAAGGATCAGGACGGTTGTCTCCTTTTGATCGGGACGACGATCTGGAAGAAGGGAGCAATGTTATCGTGTGCCGCGGACATCGTGTGTACGCCGCGCGTGCCGTACGTTCATTTGTCGCCCGGCGACGTACGTAGTTTACCGGTTTGGCGATTAAAAAATTGTAACTCGGATCTGTCACGACGCGTCTCGACGTTTTGTTCTGCTCGGGATTTTCTTTGTATTCTTTGTGTAATAAAGCTCTTTTTGTTAAGTAGTCACGTCTCCTTATTGCCGCGACTGCGTGCGCGAATTCCGGAGTCCAGCAAAAGCGCCGTTTCGCTCTCGCGGGCGCAATATGTACAAATAACACTGATCGAACATCTTTGCATTTATTTTGTGACAATTTTTTATCGTTTTTCAGGAAAGTAATAAGAACATTGTTTGTTTCTTGTGTGATACTTTTAACGGTCCTGCATGAATTTTTCATTTCCAGACGAGGCCATTTTCTACTCTGTTAAAAAATAGCCCATTTTTGGCTCTAGTATAAAATGGTCATTTTTGGTTTTGCATGGAAATAAGAAATTCATGTAGGACCGTTACGAGTATCACTCAGGAACAAAAACATTCTTATTACTTTTACAAAAACCGATAAAAAAGCTGTCAAAAATAGAAACGTTTGACCATTATTACATTGACATGTTTGCATCCATTGTTAACAACTTTTCCATCGTTTTTCGAGAAAGTGATGAGGACGGTTTTTGTTCCTTGAGTGATACTCTTAACAGTTTTGTATGAATTGTTTATTTCTGAGAGGAGTAAAAAATGATTAATTTTTTGTTCATCTGATTTTGTTGACCATTCTTTTTTGTTCAAACATAATAATTTTCTATTTTACGTTTTTTTATAATAAAAAATTATATTTTATACGTGCATAGTAAAGTATATTAAATATCGACCATTTTATTAAAAAAATGTTTGTCACATTTTGATGTAAAGAATTTTTTACGCATTGTTCTTTTTGATGCTCTTGTAATTATGATAACACACGAATCGGTAGTATCTATAACTGTACTATTGATTGTGCGAGTATATAAATGATCTCAGTCCGCCGACGGAAACCGGAAAAGAATGGCGCGCGGTACTAGGAAGCGATTAAAAGAAAACTACTTTTCCTGATGCAGGACAATATAATTTATTTTATTGGACATGAATACATTTACCTCTACTTTGACGACTTCGTAGCCGTAATGGGCACTAGTAGGTATAGCGGCGAGAATAGGTCTGTCTTTTGATTTGAATTTGGGTGAGTTGTCATTCACATCTTTTACTCTCACAATTACCCTGACTTCGTTAGGTGCTAAGCCGTTTACTCTCTCGTCAACGATAGGATAAATCATCACTGGCATATCACGGGCGAGTCTATCAACTCTAATTTTTACTTCGTACCGATCTTTAATTTCTCGATCGATTTCTGTCATGAGGTAGAGAGAACCGTTTTTAGGATTGACCGAAAAGTATTCCTTATTGTTAAAACGATCAGCTACGATACTGTATCTTACATGGTCATCATTATAACTATCAGCAAGATCTAATTGCGCAATTAGCAATGGTACAGAAGCGTTCTCGTCAACTTCTACTTCATAATATTGATGTTGAAAAGATGGCATCTTGTGCACTTTGTTTTCTGCTTCGTCGTCGTCATTGACATTTAATACATTAATGCGAACTACAGCCGAGGAAGTTAAACTAATTGGCGATCCGAGATCGCTTGCAATGACAATCAAGCAATAGTCGTTCTTAGTTTCATAGTCAAGTTTGGCGATGGTCGTGATGATACCCTCCTTGTTATCCACCGCAAAATATTGCTTTTCTGTTCGATTTTGATAACTTAAGTCAAACAGGATCAATCCATTTCCATTACCAGCAAAATCGCTGTCATTTGCGTATACTTTGGCCACTTGTGTGCCAATTGGAATATTCTTTAAAACAGAAGTTCGATAAACTGGCAATCGACCGCCTTCTTCCAGCTCGTCGTAACTGTGAAACATTGGCGCATTGTCATTCACGTCCAACACGTTGATCTCCACCTCTACGGATGAGCTCAAAACCGGCGAGCCGTGATCGCAAGCTATCACAAGAAGACGATGAGTCGTACTTTTTTCTCGATCAAGAATTCCATTTACTCGTATTATTCCTTTATATAAATCCACATCAAATGATCGCGATACATTGCCGATAAGACCCGAATCTTCGTGGCTCGTAATCAGCTTGTAACTCAGTTCGGCATTTACACCAAAATCACTATCAATTGCTCGCACTGTACCTACTGCTTGATTTGAATAGGTACTTTCAGCTACGTCAAAAGTGTACCAGGACTTGTCAAAGACAGGAGCATGATCGTTTGCATCCGTCACATGAATCCTGACAGTAATATTGTCCGACAAGTTACCGGAATCGCTTGCTACAACAAATAATTGGATGTCTTTTTCTGACGGTAGACTACGGGCGACGGATATTTCGGCTGTGCGTGAATCGAGATGGAAGTATCGACGGCTGGTCACGTCGTAGCGACGTGCACGAGTTCCGCTTTCAGTTGTTTCGTTGCCTAGACTATACATTATTACAGCATTTGTTCCGTCGTCCTTGTCGTCTGCTAAAACACGAATTATCGGCACACCAATAGTAGTGTTTTCTGGCACTAGCAAAAGTGGCGAACGTCGTATATTACTGTACACCAAGTTATTGGGTTGAACTTCTACATCCTTCATTTCGTTTTTCTCAGAAGATATATTGACAACGGGATCTTGTGATACTCGCACTCCCTGATCCGGGAAAATTATCATACGTATAAATTTCGGACCGTTGTCATTTTCATCAAGCACTGTTATTCTTAAAATGCTTTTAGAGTTTAATCCGCCTATAAAAACAATACACACATCAATATTTGTTATTGTAACTTGTATATGTATGTTTTAAAGAAAATATCTCAATTTAAGACAATCTAAAAATAATTTCTTTAAGTTTTTTTTTAAATAAAAAGAACTGTCGTAATAAAATTTCTAGTAAGACTTTTATTACAGAGAAGTACATCATATCATGCCGTCCCAAGAAAAATATTTCTCCTCCAGTCGCTACTACTGCGCCGTTTTCCTCTCGTCTTCGCCAGCGGCCCAATATCCGATCCATATACTGGTCAATATTATTGACACAATTATTGATAATATCGACGTTTGTATGTTATTGCCAATAATCTAGACCATAAAAAAGAACAATGCGTCAAAAATTCTTTACGTCAAAATGCGACAACGAATATTTTGCTAATAAAACACCGACATTTATACTTTAATATGCGTATAAAATGCGTAAAAATATAATTTTTATCATAAAAAATTTACTACAAACTACACTTGCCAAGTACAAACATAACTATTGCAATACTATTTTATTTTCTATATCTTATAATAATATTTTAATATACTGACACATGTATGATGTTACACATATAAAACACTATGCATCGTGATATTAATGATGTTATAGTGACAAGATTAGATTAGGTTAGTTTTTTGGGGGGAGGTGCAAGGAGGCACAGCCTCCTCTGCCTACACGTTAACAACACGATAAAAAAAACATAAAAAATTTGATCAGAGTAAAGTGAAACGTTTTTTATAAAGCGCAAAAACTTTCTGTACAAACGGGATCATTGCAATAAGGTTCCTACGCAAACAAGATGCGCAATATGATTTCTGTGCAAACAGGATTCTGAACAATTGGGATCTGTGCACTGCAGTTTATGTGTAAATGGAATCTGTGCAAACAAAATCTGTGCAATAGTCACTTTGGAAAAATTAAATCTTAGTCAACTACGACATCTGTGATAACTATGGACAATCAGGATTTGCGTAAAAATTTTCTGTGCAAACGGGACTTAGGCATACAAGATCTGTCGATTTGCGCAAAAGAAATCTTGGCTATTGGGATCTTTCTCTTTTTTGACATAAAGAATTTTTAACGCATTGTTTTTTTCATGATCCTGATGATGGCACTAACACACGAGCGTCGGTATTATCAATAATCGCGTCGGTATTATCGACAGTACCAGTGTATGGGTCGGATATCGAGCCAGGTTTGAGAACATCTTTCACCTTAGTTGAACTTTCATCGAACTAAGAATGTAAAGTGTCACCTATGCGTCTTCGTTTTCAAACGATACTGTGCGACATACTATGACGTGTACAAGAATATATTTATTTTTTTAATTAAAATAACTTCAATAATAAAAACTTCATCTATTTTTTTGCTTTTTTTGTATTTTTGTTTTTTAAAGTTACTGATGGTCCTGTCAACGACGTTACTCTTTCTTTAGTGTTACAAAACGAGAAGGTTAACGCATGGTAAAAGTATATACAGTGTAGTCAATTTGGCTAAATCACGCTCTTTTTCTCGCCAAAGTGTTGCTAAAAACATAGGGCTGCCAATCATAAAAAATAAAATGTTTAACGTCGACAAGTTGCCGCGACTGCGTTAACGGTATCTTTGTCGCATGTCCCGTAATTACATTATCTTACTCTCTCGGAATATTATCGCGGCAAAACAATATGTCCAAATCGTGCGAGATTTAGAAGACAAGATCAAGAAGCACGGTAATGCCTGGCGCCAAGTTCACGCTTAATGCACACAAACTGCTCGAGGCACCGTGCCTTTATATACGCAAAATTCTGCCATTATAGGAGTAGGATAAGTTTTAATAAGATATATATATATATATATATATACACGGTGGGCCATTTTAATCTCAACAGCCATATATTTCGATTTTTATGCATGCTCTGGAAAAATGGTTTAGACAAAAGTTGCTCGGAATAATAGGGGCCAACTATCTGTGTCAGATTTGACCTTGACAATAAATGTCAAAGTCTTTTGAAGGTCAAAACGTTTTTTTCTTATGGGAACCCATATTTTTAAAACCGGATTCGAAAAGAGCGGAAAATTTTACGTCCAGATACGTATCTAAGTTCAACATTAACGTGACCTTTATAGGTCAAATAAATTTCTAAAAACCAACTCTGCTAAACCACAAGTAGGCTAACCCAATAGTTAGGTTAATCTAAAGATGAGCAGGCAACTCTACAACCACGTGATTGCTGTAATTTTACTCTTGCGGAACCTTACTTTTAGCACTACCCAGAAACAACGACGTGGACGTAGTAAGGACTGTTTCCCTTGGGGTGCTTGTTTAACGTGAGTCCCCTTGCCTCTCACAATGGGGTGCTTGCTTAGCGTGAGTCTCCTTGCTTCTCACGATGAGATGCTTGCTTAACGTGAGTCCCCTTGCCTCTCACAATGGAGTGCTTGCTTAACGTGAGTCCCCTTGCCTCTCACGATGGGGTCATTCACCCACAAATCAAATGTTCGAAGTTGCGTCCGTCTGCTTGTAGGCATAAATTTAAACGTCTTTGGAAATGGCCTAGAGTGTTGAGTAAATTTCGTCTAGGAAACAGTCCTTACTACGTCCACGTCGTTGTTTTTGGGTAGTGCTAAAAGTAAGGTTCCGCAAGGGTAAAATTACAGCGATCACGTGGTTGTAGGGTTGCCTGCTCGTCTTTAGATTAACCTAACTATTGGGTTAGCCTACTTGTGGTTTAGCAGGGTTGGTTTTTAGAAATTTATTTGACCTATGAAGGTCACGTTAATGTTGAACTTAGATACGTATCTGGACGTAAAATTTTCCGCTTTTTTCGAATCCAGTTTAAAAAATATGGGTTCCCATAAGAAAAAACGTTTTGACCTTGAAATGACCTTGACATTTATTGTCAAGGTCAAATCTGATTGCACAGATAGTTGGCTCCTATTACTCCGAGCAACTTTTGTCTGAACTATTTTTCCAGAGCATGCATAAAAATCGAGATATATGGCTGTTGAGATTAAAATGGCCCACCGTGTATATATATATATATATA